ATTGATTTCAGAGGATTTTTTGTGATCAAAATAAAGAATAATTTCACAATTTTTCACCAAAAAATGAAATAAGTGCGAAATACGATGTTAACTGACATCTACCTTTCAACTCCAGGTCCTACATCGTGGTTCAGCTGGAAGATGCGAACACATTTAAACAAACAAAAATGACCGAAAAAGCCTAATGGGGCTCATTTCAAAGCGTGGATCTACTTCTTTCATGTGAAAATAATCCGTCCAATGAAAGCTCAGAATGCAAAATTCTTTGGCAGTACATTCAGTAAAATAACAAATATATCCTTCCAGAAATTCTTCCCAAATATTTAAGATACCATAAATCGCTTTTGCAGGTCATGATATCGATCATAACTCACGGATAAGGGTACAACCCGATTTCATATTTATATAACCATCGTATGATTTAAGCTATTTAAGGGTCTTGGCCAGTTTTTTCAATTTTTGGCCCTTATTTGGAATCTTTGTTTCTAAGGGGGTAGAGAACCTCTTCGCATAAAATTTGAAATTTTCAGAGTAGGCCCCATATTGGTCTTGACCACATTCATCAACTGATTTGGCTAAAAATATGTATTTATGCTACCCTGGGATAGGGAACCATCACACAGATAATTGCCACACAGAAATTTATTTAAGTAAAGTCCCCACATTGGAGTATCCCCAAGACCACTTTCAAATCTAATGTGTGGTCAGAAAAGAAAATTTTGTATTCTATTGAATTTGTAACCCCCAAGAGAATATTGGTTGGGAACGTAAATTTGGGAAGTACATCTATATGAAATAAATTGTGAAAACATGAACATATTACAAATATAAGAAAGTAGCACGGGACCGAATATTTGTTGAATCCTCATTTAATTATACAATGATGAAAAATATGAACTTTATGGGGTCTCCAACTTACAATTTATATGGCAAATAAAATTAATTCCCATCTTACGGTAATGGGTGTAAAATAGTAATTATATTTGACTATTCTAAAATCATTCTGCCCTCAATTATGAGGTGGGATAAAACTATTTTTACTTATTTATATCACGCGAATTTTTTTCATTTTGACATGCTATGTTGTTCTGCTATATTTTTGATTTGGCCTCTATTTGTCATCTTCGATTATAAGAGATAGAAGGAAGTTTTTAATGTAGGTCGATGTTTCGGAGTAGTGCCCATATAAAGGTACCTCCTGATTGTACCATATTTCAAAGGATTTGGATAAAATGTGTATTTGGTGGGGTGAAACTCAAAATGTGATTCTATGCTGATCACCAAAAGAAACTATGGGTCTATCTCGTTTCCTTTTGCCTGTTACAAACAAATGCACAAAGACATAATACCCTTACCACTTTGGGATGTAGGGTATAAAAAGTAGGCTAATATTGGGTCAAAGAGCCAATATGTTGGTAACAGGCTTCCTCAGAAGACCAAAAATGTTGCAAATCATAATTAAAGGAGATCGTTATAGTTAATCGGAGTTACATATATTGATAGCGCTACAACTGCAGTCAAAACTAACTGCTCCTTTAAAAAATATTTAGCAGCTGTAACTACGGGGTTAATCCAACTACTATCAATAATTCAGCAACAGTAAACAAGTAAAGAAGGGTAAAAAGTCGGGCGGGCCGATACCCTACACCACTATGCGCATTTAGTAAAGCAACCCTTAAAAAGCGTTTCTATTGCGATTTTATCGAAGTAGGTCATACCAATCATAACCCTTCTTTGAATGCTTATTATAGCTTTAGAGCGGCTATAATTTGGAATTAGAGTAAAATAATGTAAGGGATGTATATCGAACTCAGAATCGATTTCTACCGAATTTACCTCTCTTACCAAATAACATAGCTATGGAGTGCATAATTTGACTTCGAGAAGGATTATATTAAAACAAGTAAGCAAAGGCTACAGTCGAGCGGGGCCGACCGTTGAATACCCTACAACACTATAATAAACGATACAGTTTATATAGGCGAGATACTCGAAAGAATTCCACAAGATATTGTGACAAATAATAAAAGAAAACCATCAGGTTTCGTTCTCTAATTTTCGGATAATAGCAACTTAAACTAATTTGCTCATTTACAATTTATTGGTAGATGTTGCACGTAAATGGTCTTCCTAGATCTGGAACCAATATTTCCCAAAGACCTTTAATCTCTCAGAAGTGGCAAAAGATTAACATTTATTATTGGTTTTTGACTGAAACGCATCTATATGAGATACAGACATTTGACTATATTCTTCAACGAAATCAGCGTTAACGAAGTAGTCAGAAGTGCGTCTTTCCTGTATTTGTGAATTCTCCAAAAAGTCACTGGAATGGACATTTTCGTATTTTGTCTACAAAAGTTGGCAAACTCCTTCACACATTGAATATTTTTGGATGGCCATCCAAAACTGCTTGGCTTTTGCAATGTCCGGTAACCCCCATAATTACGACCTGCTGACAATTTTGCAGTTTTTTGGTCCATTTCAACCTCTAAATATATGGGGATCATCTCCAAAAAGAATAGGCTTTTATTCTGACCCTCATCTTATCTCCATGCAAAATTTCGTAAGGATCGGGCCATAAATACGATCTGTATATGATATCCTGATATCCTAACTACTTAGTTTTGTTAGCTGTAGAAATATTACCAAATGTTTAATTCAAAATGAAAATATGCCAAAAATATGACAAAATGGAAAAAATATGAGAAAATTTTACAAAATCATATTTTCATCTTTAGAGAGATATTTTTATGCGATTTTTTTAGACGTTTTATGTTTCCTGCCAAGAGGCCATTCTGATTTAATGAGAACTGTCGAAATCAGTTCAGCCGTTCTCGACATATAAGAGATTTTTCAAGCATATCTTCTTTGATAAACATATATATCGCACATATTTTACTATATATCCGTTTTGTTGGATTTTAACATCAATGTAAAGATCAGAAGTAACCTTGTCATGGCTTTGTGATTTCGCTGGGATTTAAAATATTCGCGGTTTAATGAAAATTTTTGATTTTTTTTCAACAAAAAAGATATGGTCTATTTTACCCGCTAAATATTATCCGATGACCACCCAAATGGGTAGGCTTCTTGCCAGCCCTAAACTCTAGCTACATGCGAAATTCCGCGTCGATTGGTCTGTAATTGCGACCTGTAGAGCAAGTGCAAAATTAGGATTTTTTTCAGTTTTTGGTCCATTTCAACCCCTAAATATTATGCGATCATCACCAAAAGAAATAGGGTTCTATTCTGACCCTAGCCTCACCTCCATTTTAAATTTCGTGAAGATCGGACCATAATTGCGACCTGTAGAGTGATTACAAATTAACATGGACAGACGGACAGACGGACAGACGGACGGACGGACATACATAGCTAGATCGACTCAGCTCGGCGAGCTAGGAAGATCCATATATACTTTCCTATATGGGAAACCAATATTTCGTGGTGTTACATAATTTTTGACCCAATCAAACTTATAATACCCCCAACACATAGTGTTGTAGGGTATAACAATATGTCCAAGCTCTAGATGAATGGGAGCTGAGTTTCAACAAATATCGTATTTGCTTCCAGGATAAATTTAGTTGAATGTGGAAATCTTCACGATTTTACATATTTGATGAAGATATATATGTAAGCTATATACAAATCTGAACCGATATCGATAAAATTTGGAAGAGGTATCTTAACTGATTTTCTCCATCTTTGAAGCATTTGCTTCTAGACTGAATTCGGTTATTTATGCAAAAGTCCACTCCATTTGGGCTGATATATCGGATAATGATCTATATGGGCGCTATATATAAATCTGAACCGATCTCTATGAAAATTGGCAGAGGTATATCTGGAGTGTATATGATATCTGGTTGTGTAGTGCATATTGCGAATCTGATAGATTCAAACTCAAAATCGGATGAAATATATATGGAAGCTATGGCTATATCTGACCAGATTTTCACCAAATTTGAAGCACATAATTCATGTCAGATTAATGCTTCTGAGTTCCGAAATCCATTCCATTTGGACAAATATTAAAGATAAGGCGCATAATAAAATTAAAATCGGACGAAAATATATATGGGAGCTATATCTAAATCTGAACCGATATTCATCAAAATTGTAAGACATACTTCTGGACTTATCCTGTCCGTATATTACGCACTTGGTACATAACACTTATGAACTCTATATATAGGAGATTTATCCAAATCCAAGTATCCCCAATTTCAATAGGGTTCGTCCTTGGGCCAAACATATGAATTGTGAAAAAATCATCTCAATCAGACAATAAATGCGACCTGTACCTTGCTTACAAAAATACATGGACAGACAGACGGACATGCATAAATCGACCCAGAATGTGAAAGGAACTATGGAACTATTTCCTTCTGCATGTTACAAACAAATGCACAAAGGCCAACCAACCAGTTAAAATGTCGAATATTTTATGGTACCGTTATATGCTGCCTATGGAAAATATGTACATATAAAACATTTTTATGCCACAGACGGAAGAACCTATTACAAACTCGAAATATCAAATTTAAAACAATGAAAACAATCAAATTGAACGCTGAAAAATTATAAAATATATTCTGATGGACTTTTTGTTCAAACACTTCACTTTAAATTGTATGTCCCATCGTTGTCAGGGTTGCCCTGGGAAACGGCTATTTTTACAGGTATCCATGGTTTTGTGACCTCACAATGTTAACATTTAATTCGGTTATAGACATTCAGTTCGATAAAAAGCAAGTTGAGCTAACATGGCTACGGATAACACTCCTAGAGTTCCGCAGGGACTAAGAAATCTTATGAAAAATCTGACTAGAGAAATTTTAAAGGAAAAACCAACAAATATTTATTATTTCGCCGAAAATTATTTTCTCTCCCTTCTACGTGAAAAGGAAAACTACGATGTAAAAAACTATGAACCGACTTATAAAAAATACGACTTCTTTAGTGTTAAAACTCCACCTAGCTACAATATTCCAATGGCTTTGGCGTACACCGTCATACCTGATGGTTTGACCGAACTCTTGAAAGATATTATAAAGGCTGTTTTAAGAGAACAGCCCGAAAATTTGTGTGAATTCGCTGTTGAATATTTCCGACACTTGAGAAATTCTAATGAGTCGTATGAATCCAAACATATAACTTATGAAGCATATGAAAACTATTTTTTAAATAAGGATCGATTTTTTTACACGCCTTTTGTTAAATGTTTTTGTGGAAGATTTTTGGGTCAAGGTTTAGGTGGTGGCCAACAAATGAATATTCATACCCAATCGTTGGAGTTTTCTAAAAATCGAACCTCTGACCTAAATAATTGTTGCCCCAAATCCAAGGGGTCTTACGGTAATACGGAATGTGACGAGACCGCAGAAATTGTGTCTCAAAATAAATACAATCACTCGGCTCGTGTAATACAACGTTATTTTCGTCAATACATAAAAAAGAAGCGAGAGGGACGGGAAATGAATGAAGAAACGGCTGCACTAATTATCCAGAAAAGTTTGAGAAGGCTATTCGGTTCGAGAAAAGGAGAGACTGGTATTAAATCGAAGGAAACATTACAAGCTGTTCCTCAACTTCAGTTGACTCATTTAGAAAATGATAACCTCTCCGAAGAGGCTTCATACACATCAGCTTCTACGGCAATCCTTTCAGCATCGGAGTCAGGTCGGGACTTTTTCGACGTAAGCACATCAGAAAACATAGTTAACAAGCCTATTATTGAAAGTGAAGAACAGGATAATGATGAAGAAAATTGCCAGAAAAGCGAATTAATGAATGAGCCAATAAAAGAATTAAATAAACTAAACGACAAAATACCTGTTGACAATAATGGAAACCACATTGGTGAAGAACATATAGGTGAGTTTACATTAGCACTACAGTGAGTTTTAACAATTTGTAAATATTCAGAATAGAAAACAATAATTTTTAATTATTCAGAATTTTTAATTAATCGGAAGAGAAAACAAGAATTTTTATGAAGATTGTTTCAAAAAAAAAAAACTTCAATCGCTGCATGTTCAATACAAAACCTAAGAATTAATATTAAGCAAAGGTTTGCCTGGAATTTGAAACACGGGCCTCGGTGTACTATGTATTGCCGTCTTAATATGCAAAGTCATCTACAGATTTTGGCATTGGAAGCAGTTCGCAGTGGTCCCACATGGATGGGAAGGTGTGACAATAATGTTTCTATACAACTAATTTATTCGTGTTTTAAGAGAAACTTCATAATGAGTAAAAACATATTGAAGTAGAATGATCTTCATATCACGGTACCCTCCGATTTAAAACAAGTAAAAAAGCTGTAAGTTCGGCCGGGCCGATCTTTGAATACCCTCCACCATTTGGAACGATTTTGGCAATTTTCAAAAAAATAAATCCGTTAAAAATCTTAAAAATACCAAATGTAGCCGTTATATTAGGGTTTATACGACGACGTGGACCTTCGTAGGTAACTTTTGTTATTAACCATAACAATATTCATATGCGAAAAGTTATGTTTATAATGTAGCTGAAATCATCAAAATACCGAATAAGGGGAGGTACCATGGGGATTATAAAACGTGGAACTGCACAGACAATTTTCTGGCATAGGCTGTAGTATTCATTACGAACTTCCAATACCAAATTTAGAATAATTCCGGTAAATAAGGTCGCTAAAATAATCAAAATACCGATTATCGGGGGTACCGTTATATGGGTGTTATACGAAGACGTGGACCTGCACAGACAATTTTCTTTCATAGGCTGTATTATCCATTATGAACTTCAAATACCAAATTTGAAACAATTGCGATAAATAATGTCTCTTAAATCATCGAAATACCGAATATCGGGAGGTACCGTCATATGGGGGGCTATACGAAGACGTGGACCTACATGGTTCATTTTCTGTTTTAGGCTGTATTTTCCATTATGAACTTCAAATACCAAATTTGAAACAATTCCGGTAAATAATGTCTCTTAAATCATCGAAATACCGAATATCGGGAGGTACCGTCATATGGGGGGCAATACGAAGACGTGGACATACATGACCCATTTTCAATACCAAAAGTCCTGCAGACATAATACACATTTAAGTAAATTTTTTTTTCACATTTTAAAATAAGTATAGGACCATTTTTATAGTTTTTCGTTATTATGGCAAAAAAAACAAAGGGTGAGATAAAAAAGTGCAACAAAGTCAAACGACATAATTTCTACATTCTTTAAAAATATTATTGAATGAAAGCAAAAAATGTCGGAAATAGCCTAAAATCTTAGAATAAGATTTAGATTTTTAGATTTATTCGAATTGGTCACTTTCGGCATGAATTATTTCCTTCAAACCGCCACACGCTGCCCGAATGTTTCTCTGCGTTATTTTGGCCCATTCCCGACGAAGCGTCACTGGAATAATTTTAACAGCTGTAGGACGAGTGTCTTAGAAATGACAGCAGTCTGAAGTTGGTTGCAGTTTTTTCATCTCACCCTGTATATTTGGCGATCTAACACACAAATAAACATAAAACAGAAAAAAACCAAACTTCTGTCAGATATTGTTCAAAAAACCCACAATTTGGTGTAACCCGCATATGGCTGTAACTATTCATATTTTTATACCCTACACCACAAGGTGGTCAGGGTATTATGTCTTTGTGCATTTGTTTGTAACAGGCAAAAGGAAACGAGATAGACCCATAGTTCCTTCTGATGATCTGCATAGAATCACTTTCTGAGTTGATTTATGCATGTCAGTCCGTCTGTCCGTCTGTCCGTCCGTCCGTCCGTCTGTCCATGTATTTTTGTGAACAAAATGCAGGTCGCATTTATTATCCGATTGAGATGAAACTTTGCAAACAACATTTGTTTGGCCCAAGAACGAGCCCTATTGAAATTTGAGATAATCGGTAGAAATTTAGATATAGCTCCCATATATATCTTCGTCCGATTTGCCTTTTATTGTGCACCAAACGTGTAATATCAGCCCGAATAGTATGTAATTTTGCACATACAACCATATAAGGCCTGAAAATAAGTGTGCCAAATTTGATCGAAATCGGTTCAGATATAGCTATAGCTCCCATATATATTGTTCATCCGATTTGTTATTTTTGTCCTCCGCAGCCGTAATATGCACTCTGTAACAACAATATTTGGGGAAATATATCAAATGCAGCTCAGAAATACCTTTGCTAAATTTTATCGAGATCGGTTCAGATTTGGATATAGCTTCCATACATAACTTCGTCCGATTTACCTTTTATTGTGCACCAAACGTCTAATATTTGCCCAAATGGCACATACGACCGAATTTAGTCTAGAAGGTAGTATGCCAAATTTGGTGAAGATCGGTTCAGATATAGCTATAGCTCCCATATATATTGTTCATCCGATTTGTTGTATTTGTTACCTACAGCCATAATATGCACTCCGTAACAACGATATTCAGGGAAATATATCAAATACAGCTCAAAAATATCTTTGCCAAATTTTATCGAGATCGGTTCAGATTTGGATATAGTTCCCATATATATCTTTATCTGATTTCAAATTAATTTTGCACCAAATGGGCAATACAAGTCCGAATTTAAAAGATACAAATGCTTTGGCATATTTAGTCCTTTGAATTTTAAATTATAATTATAATCATAGAGTGTATGATTGAATTCTCCCATAAAAACTTTTAATTATTAAGTGGAGCTCAACTAAATTAGCAAAGTGGTGTAGGGTATCATAAAATCGGCGCCGCCCGACTTTAGGACTTTCTTTACTGTTTTTTTTTTATTTTATTCTTAATTTCCCAAATAGGCTGACTTTTTCGCTAAAATATTTAATATTATGATGGGCTAATATGTAATTTCACTGAAATTTAAAAAAAAAAATTGAATATGTAAGAAGTAATAAGCATATTCCAGTAGTCTTCTACTACGGAAGACAGAACCCATTACCAACTCTAAATATAGTATTGTAAACGCTTCCTCCCAAATTATAAGAATACATGGAGGATTATAGCAAACCTATGTTTGCAATGATTTCAACCTATATAGGCAATTGGTGCCACTGAATGTAGAACTCGTTAGAAAATATAAGTACCGTATTCTAAGTAATTCCGTTTAAAATTGTGGCAAATAACGAATATCCGGAGGTATAGTGATATGGTGCTTTAAGACAACAATGTTCTGTCACAGAAAGTAGAACCTATATAAACTGTAGGTATCGAATTTTAAACAATTAACTTTAAAAAAATGTGATGGAAATCGTAAAAATACTGAATAGCGGGAGGTATCCTTATATGGGGGCTACAGGAAAATGATAATGCTATGCCACAAGAGGAAGATCACATTGTGAAATAAATGTACCGAATTTTAAACAATTCCATTAAAAAATGTGGCTTAAATACCTAAAATATGAAATATCGGGAGGTACCATTGTCTATAAGAAATGTTCAATAACAATGTGCAACCAAAGGATCTAAAACCCATTTAAACTCCTAAGTACTGAATTTTAAACAATTCTGTCAGAAAATGTGCTCCAAATCGTCAGAGGTACAGTTTTTTGGGGGCTATACGAAAATGCGGATCGGCTTGTCCCATTTACGAACTTGGCCCTGCCTACTGACCAAATATACATGTGCGCACAATTTTAGCCATCTATCTTATATGTATAATAACTGACAGTGGTTAATAACGTATTCCTGTATTTAAATCGCATGATTTTAAGGATCAATGGGGTTGAAGTACAGTTTTTTTTCTTGAGAAATTGCTGTTATAATTTTATTTTGGTCCAGAAATTTAAAATAGCTCGAAACACTGGCTCTAGATCCACTTTTTGTCACATTTTTATTTACTACTATGGATCTAGAAACCTAGAAAAAATCCTCATTGCATTTATTGGTCACCAAATTGTTAATATTAAGACGAATTAAATGGATTTTGGCAAATACTAACGAATTTAGACTGGAAGAAGGTGTATGTAATTTGTTGAAAATCGGCCAAGATATAGCTAGCTATAGGTCTCATATATATGTTTTATACGAGTTTGTACTTTACTTCCTCACAACCGTAAAATACTCTCCGCAACAACGATATTTGGTGCCAACTACCAGATACAGCATTTATATAGAAACACCTCTTCTAAATTTTATAGAGATCGGTTCAGATTTGGATATAGCTACAATATATACATAATGAATATGAATATATATCTTCACAATATATATCAGCTCACATAGGATGAATTTTGATGAATAGTACGCATTCAAAAACTATCATATTTAATATGTTTTAATTCTCATGAATTCCCCATAGTGTAGTAGTGTAGGGTATCATAAAGTCGGTCCTGTCCGACTTTGGTCTTTCTTTTCTGTTTTTTTTTTCAATATTACACATACAGGCTAAGATGAAAAAACTGAAACCAAACTCAAACCGCTGTCATTTATAAGCCACTCGTCCGACAGCTGTTAAAATTATTCCAGTGACAGCTCATTATATTGTTTACCAGAGTACAAAAGCATTTTGGTGAGAATTTTTCAGAAAAAAAAAGTTATTCGTGATGGATTTCCAGCGTGATAGTGTGATTTCTTTATATTTGGCTGGAAAACCACAAGTGGCTATCGTAGAGCACTCCAGCATTTTAATGTAAATAAATGTTTTATGTCTCGTACCATCGCTCGTTACCATGATACTGGTAGCGTAGCCCGACGTCAAGGAAGTGGACGGAAGAAAACAGCAACATCAGCAGAAATGGTTCGGAAAGTAAAGAAGCGACTTGATCGAAACCCGCGTCGCAGTGGCCGACATTCGGCAAATATTGAAAAATGAGCTCGGGGTAAAGCTATTGAAATTCCAAAAAGTGCAAGAACTTACAACGCAACAGAGTTGAGCAAATGCAAAAGAGCTAAAGAGTTGCTTCGTTTGGTCGAAAGTGGTGAACTGCCGAATTTGGGTTTCTCCGATGAAAAAAAAATATTCGTTGTCCAGCAGTTTGTAAATAAACAAAATGATCGTGTTTACTTGCCAAGGAGGTCAGCAGAAATGTGCACCTTCGGATGACCACCAGAACTCAAGCGACGGTCATGGTGATGGTGTGAGCGCCATAACAGCCGATGGTCGCTCTTTGCTCGTATTAATCGACGGTCGCATCAGAATAAATGCCAAATATTATAATCTAAGTGTGTATTAAAGCCTTGGGAACGCAAACCTTTTGGCCGTAGACTTTGGACATTCCAACAGAACTCAACACCATCGCACTCAGCACGCGTCACTCAAGAATGGTTACAAAATGAGGTTCCTCGCTTCATTTCCAGCGCACAATGGCCACCAAAATTTACGGATACCAATCTAAACTATTGAATCTGCAGTATTTTGGAAAGCAAAGTTGGCACTAAAAATACCAAAGTGTCGATCACCTCAAGCAAGCGCTTCGCCGGGAATGAGACAAAAAACCACAGAGCAACATTCGGGCAGCGTGTGACGGTTTCATTGGCCGTTTGAAGGCCATAATTCATGCCAAAGGTGACCAATTCAAACTAATCTAAACTTATTCTAAGACTTAATGCTATTTGCGACATTTTTTGCTTTCATTCAATAAAATTAAATGTAAAATTTATGGCGTGCACTTTTTTATCTCACCCTGTAAGTTAAAAAGGCACTAAAATAAAACGGGATTTTATAGATCTCTATGGAGCCTGATCAAAAATGGGTCGTCTTTCAAGTTCTAGTTAAGAATGTTTTGCCTGCCCTATAAAATATTTAATAACAAAATTCTTGTATATTCTTCCAGACCGTAAACATGTCCATGCCCTTGAGGAAAGCTACAATCAGGATTCGCATTTAATATCTGAGGTGGACCCTCTTGAAAATCAGAGGAAAGGTATTTTATGAAATAATAATGTTGAAATATAATTGTCATAGGTGTCTCTTTCAGATATATCCTTTGACAAGGAGAAAAATCTAAATGAAGTAGAGTCGACATCTCTAAACGATAGCGATTATGGGTATCAGGAAGATAATAGAAGGGAAAATCAAAAAACATCAACACTTGCAGAATCTGGCATTTCCGTGAAATGCCTTCAAGAAGAAAGACAGGAGATCAATTATCTTCAGAAACACGAGAATGATCTGAGTTCAATTGCAGCAAACGAGCATGATAATCTGACAGAGAGAAACACTTCTACAACAAGGGAAGATAGTGTTTTAATTTCTGATAATAATTGTTTAGAACTTGATAATGATGCTCCAAAAACGAATTCTCATAATGAAAGAGATGATGACACTAATGACTGTGAATCAGAAACTGTTGATACCGTAACACATAGCCCAGTTACGAAGGGATCTACATTGAAAATAAGCCATACAAAGGCAGTGGTTTTGGATGCTGAATCGTCTGATCAAGATTCGAAGAGTGACAATAGGCGTTCCGAAGATATACCACAAGAAAACAAAGAACAATTTAAAATGGAGGAATCAGAAACGACAGTTAATAATGAGGTTAAAACCGCTCATGATGAAAACCAGAAAGCTATGCAATATGAAATGCCTGAGAATGGTCAAAATACTACTAAAGCAGTATTCAATATTCCAATGCCAGCAGAGAAAAGTAGTTCTTCAAATAAGGAGGACAGCGTTTTGATTTATGATAATAATGATACGAATTTTGATGAAAACACCCAAGCAAAATCTCCTCAAAATGATATAACTGCTGGCTCCAACGGTAACCACTCAAATATCGTTGATACATTGTCACAAAGTCCTGTTCCAACCGCGTGTACACTAGAAGAAAACAATGCACATGAATTGATTTTAGAAAAGGTTTCGAATGATCATGTTTTGCAGAGTGGTACTGAATTACGGGAATTGAAGGCTTCTGAAGATATACCAGGAGAAATCATTGACAAAAATCTGCAAGTTATCAATCACGAAATGCGTAATAATGATCACAATAGTGTTAACTCAGTACTCAGTATTTCAGCTCCGGCAGAGAAAGTTATTTGTTCGAAAAAGGAGGACAGTGTTTTGATTTCGGAAAATAATGATACGGAACTTGACCAGGACGCCCAAGAAAAATCTTCCCAGAATGTTATAAAAGCTGATCCAAACTTAATTATCACTGATACATTACACCGGAGTCTCATTCCTAATGTACTTTCATTGGAATCAAACAATACAAAAGAATTGCTTTTAGAAAAGGAATCGACTGATCAGGATTCAAAGAGTGGAACCGTGATATCAGAAGAAACACTGGAAGATCACAGAGAATCATTTAAAATTGTGGAATCGGAAAATGAGGTTAATAATTTGGCTAAACAGGAAATACATGGAAATGATCACAATGCCGCTAAAGAAGTAGAGAGTGTTTCAATTTCTGATAATAATGATGCGGAAATTGACAAAAATGACCAAGAAAACAGTTCTCAAAATGATATAACTGCTGAACCAAATGATAAACACTCAAACATCGTTCCAGAGGTATTTCCATTGGAGGCAAAAAATGCAAATGAATCAATTTTGGATAAAGAATTGGTTGATCAGGTCTCAAAGAGTGGTACTGACGGATCGAAGGACATACACGCAGAAAACAACCAATCATTTCAATTCGATGAATCAGAAAATACGGTTAGTGTTAGGGCGAAACGCTCTCAAGATGAAAATCAGATAGTTGTTCACAATGAAATTCTGGAGAATGACAATACTACTACTAAAGCAGAATCCATATAGATATGACAACAGAGAATATTATTCAATCGGACGAGGAGAATAAAATGATTCCAAACTTGATAAAAGTGACCAAGAAAACAGTTCTCAAGATATTACAAGGGATGGTTCAAATGATAATCCGACAAATAACGCTGATACATTCTCAAGTAGCCTTATGCCAAAGAAAGATCCATTGAATGGAAACAATACATATGCATCGAGTTTAGGTAAGGAATCCACAGCCCAGATGTCGAACAGTGGTACTGAGGATTCGGAAGTAAAGATGAATGATGAAAATCAAAAGTTATCCATTATGGCTTACTTGAAGATGATCACAACTCTGTTGGATCCTCAAAAAGGATACCTTCAAAGAGGAGGACAAGACTTTGATTTCTGAAACTAATGATTCGGATTTTGATAAAGATTTCCAAGAAAAATATTCTCAAAAGGATGTAACTGCTGATCCAAACAGCAATAAAAATGGAGATAGGGAATCAACTGACCAGGCTTCAAAGATTGGTACCGAGGGATCGAAAGACATACTTACAGAAAACGGAGAACCACTTAAATTTGAGGAACCAGAAAATGTGGTTAATATTACGACAAACCGCTCTCAAAATGAAAATGAGCACCCTATTCATTATGAAGTTCATGAGAATGATCCCAACACTGGTAAAGCAGTATTCGATATTTCAACACCTTCAAAAAGAGAAGACAGTGTTTCGATTTCCGAAAATGATAGTACCGCAATTAATGAGGATGCCGAAGATAATTGTGCTAATCCAAACGACAGTGAAATTTTACATAAGAAATCGACTGATAAGCTTTCAAGGAATGTTTCTGAGGGATCGGGAGAGAAACCGTCGGAAGAAATACTCCAAGAAAATAAAGAATCAGTAAAATTGGACGAATCAGAAAATTCGATTAATATTATGGCGAAACAATCTCAAGAAGAAAAACAGCAAGTGGTCCAATATGAAACTCTAGAAAATGATAATGATACACCTAAAGCAGTACTCAATGTTGTTACGACAACGGAGAAAAGTATTCCTTCAAATATAGAGGCTTCTAATGATTCGCAATTTGATAAAGTTGCACAAGAAACATTTTCTCAAAATGGTGTAACGGCTGATACAAATGATAATCGCTCAAATATCACTGATACATTATCACATAGCGTTATTCCCAAGGAATTTCCATTGGAAACAAACAACATAAATGAATTGTTCTTAGATAAGGACTCCACTGAACAGGTTTCAAAGAGTGACAATGAGGTATTGAGAGACATAAGTGGAGAAAATGAAGCAGTATTTAAATCTAAATATTCAGACAATTCAGTTGACAATATGACGAAACGCATTCATGATGAAAACAAGCAAAATATCGATTTTGAATTGCAGGAGAATACAAAGGAATTGATTTCAGATGAGCAGCCATCTGTCCAGGATTCAAAGGATGGAACTGAATATTCAAAAGATGTGCCTTCGATAGAACACGTTAATAGAGATAAAGAACCAGAAGCTATTAATGATAGCCTTAAAAATATTAGTAAATTATCACTTGAAAACTGTGGCAATGAAGTTAGTTCTCATTTAAAAGAAAACGAGGAATACTTGCAGCATGCTACATCAGTATTGGCAAACGATTTAGAAGCTACAACATCAGAATATATTATGCCATCTACGACTACGGATAAGACTTTGGAAAATAATCTAGGTGGAATGGCAGAGAAAAACAGCCAAATCAGCAGACCAACTATAAACAAGTCATCTATTTCAAATGATGATCCCGACAGTGCTGAAATACATGCTCACGATACCTCAATGAAAAATACCTCAATTACAGAAAACTGTGACATACAAAATGTTAACAGAGAGAAAGTGAATGATCATATTGAAAACAAAGAAGAAGCCTTAGTTAGCAATGACTCGTTCTTCAGATCGGAAATTAATGAAAACAATGCAAGTACAGAAAATGCTGCGGACTCAGCAACTGTGTTGCAGTCGGAAATAAATAATAATAACACTGAAGAGAACGTAAAAAATGAAACTAATAACTTTGAAGAGGTTGAACACGATAAAAACATGTCAGGAAAACCTGCAATATTATACTCAAATCCCAGAGAAATGTCACATCCTGAAAACTTGGATGAAACTAATAACTTTGCAGAAGGTGAACACGATATAAAAACGTCAGGAAAACCAGCAAATCCCAAAGATAACTTACATCCTGAAAACTTGGAGCCCGAAAATATTTTTACAATTTCAATCAACAAAGATAATACAAACAGCTCTTGCGACAACATAGTGACGAATGATAAGCTCGGTGAGGATATTAATAAAATTACTAAGCATGAAAGTGAAACTACTCCAGTTTCTAAAATAGATAACTTAGGTAGTACCATAATTGCCGATAGTACTATCTCAAATGTAAAAGCAGATTTAGAGAATGATAACATTAGTAGTGAAGAAACGGAAAATGGTATCTTAAGACATGTTACAAATGACGACGTAGATCCAAAATTGGAGGATAGCAAGGATACAATCAACAGCGATACCAATGTCGACAATAAGAGTGCAATACCATCTGAGGAAGTTGTTGAAAACTCAAATGCCATAAAAACGAAAGAAAATAACATAGAATCTGATCTTTCCATAGACACAGCTAAAAATCTTGAATCTTTCGATAGAGATTTAAAAGTTGACAATGAAAATTTAGATGAAGACGGAGCACAACCAATTCTCGTTACTATAAGGGACGTGCAAGTTGACATAACTTCGGAAGACAGCCAGGGAACATCTGATAGAAACATAGAAAATATTGAACCCGAAATGTTAACGATTGATCAAGATATTGACGATGCCGCACCTAAATATATCAACATGAAGCACATAGCTCGAATGGTCAGCAAAATTTGCAGTCAGCAAAAGAATGCAAGTCGGTAGAAAATACTGAGAACAATGACATAGTTGAACATACTAACCACGATGTAAATATCGTAACTAGTGGGGGATCTGTTACAGTCGATAATGCTGCCACACTTGAGAACCGCAGCACAACGGAAATAGATCCACAAGAATGTAATAATAAAATACAAGCATCTAACAACAGTTTGGATGGGGTTCACCTAATCAGCCCTACATCAGAAACTTCATCGAAGATCTCCAACAACATCGACATGAGTATGGAAGAATGTCATGAAAGTATCAAAGAAAAGAAAATTTTACAGGAAACGACATTGGAAAGCTTGAACAACATGGACCCACCAACTACTGAACGGAGCAATGAAGTAGTCCAAATAAAGAAGGAACTCCAGGTAAGCGATGACAGCAAAAGAGACGACGCAAACTGTGTTAGAGGTCCCTCACTATCCGAAGAAAAGAAAGATACTGATCTTAAACAGGTCAGCCAAGAGGTTAATACATTGACACATGATGCTCAAGTAACTAACCAAACTTCAATGAAACAAATTGCAAACATTGACGATGTTACCCGACATGATACGCACGAGGCGGTCGGTACACCAGAGGTAGAATATCGTGTAAAAAGAGATACGATTCTCATATCAGACACAAGCCATTTGGATGATGGACAAAATGAAAAGGAATGTCTGATACAAATCGACAGCTAGCAACGTGTACGAGTATGGACGAGGGCGGACACAATACACAATCACAGATTACTAACGTTGCTGAAACAGATGACAATAAAGATATGACCGGAAATAAAAAAGCATCGGACGTGATGAAGGACAAATTAGAACATCAAAATAAAAACGGTATGTATAGATCAATCTTTTTTCATTATTTGCAAGTTCAGTTTTAAAATAAAACAAGTAAAGAACAAGCTAAGTTCGGCCGGGCCAAACTTTTAATATCCTCCACCATTTGAAACGAATTTGGCAATTTTCAAATAAATTAAAATCCGTTGAAAATTCTGTTAAAATCTTAAAATACCAAATGTAGCCGTCATATTAGGGCCTACATAGACAACTTTTTTCATAAGCCATTTCAATATTCAAATGCGAAACTTGAAAAAAAATCGGTGAAAAATGTCATAGGGTGGTATTAGTATATGGGGAATATACCAAAATATGGACCTGCACAGACAATTTTCTGCCTTAGGCTGCAGTATCCATTACGAACTTCAAATACCAAAATTGAAATAATTCTAGTGGTCTTAAAAATACCAAATATCGGGAGGTACCCTTACATGGGGGCTATACCAAAACGTGAATCTACGTGACCCATTTTCAATACCAAAAGTACTGTAGACATAATATACATTTGAGTAGAATTTTATCAATCAACTTCATTTCGTTCGGAAGGTAGCGTGATTTCCACAGACGGATAGACGGACAGACATTGCCAAATCGACATAAAATTTTATGCTGATCAAGAATATATGTACTTTGTGGGGTCTAAAATGTATATTTCGAGGTGTTATAAACGGAGAGGCAACTTAATATACTCTCCATACTATGGTGAAGGATATAAAAAACGACCATTGTATTGGTCGTAACAAAAATGCAGAAATGACAATTGTAATCTCGTGACGGCCGGTTATATGCAAAAAATTTGCTTGCGCAGCAACCTTTCGACCAAGCGCAGTTTGTATGCACCGAACAATCTTGCGATCAAGGGCCGCCAACCCAGCAACAACTAGCTTTTTGAGTTCGGACCAAAATTACCCGCAATGTTTGCTCCGTATTCTCTTGACCCGAGTTGGTACTGAGACCAGGCCCGGAACATGGTCGATCGCGGTCAGATGCAACAGATGTATGGAAAGGGTGCAGTTTCTGTATTGTTCCAGCTTAAACCTACTACAGGAGTATAACGATAAAGACTACATTGTTTCCTGTTGCGACAATGTGAGTCATCGTCATCGACGTCGTCGTCATAGTACGACTCTTCCCCACAGTCACAAATCTATGCGGTACTTGACACTGCTATTTAAGTTCCGGAAAAAGCATCTTATCTTCAGTTTAACGGCTACGATTTCCGAGATCGAGAGGAAGCTAAGCAGCATCTACAGGCTTCAAAGTTGTTATGGATACAATGCATTGAAGAAGGATCGCTTCAGAGGTGGAGGATTAGCTTTTTTTTGATCCACTCTGTCCAGTACAGACCTATATCGGTTGAAGTTGAGAGAATGCAGGGGGGGTGGCGGTGTGGAACCGCAGAGGTAGAGGAGCTAAACGTGTACATAGAATAAGTGGAACTGCCACAGTTCACCCGAATATCCATCGTGTCCCCCAAAATGATTTAACCTGACAATTCCTACCTCCCATTCTTCATAAACTCTGAACTTCGCACTTTTCTTAACCAATTGACAAGAATTCAGAGCATATACCAATCGTCGCTTCAGAGAAATGCGCAACTCATCTGATGTTCGTGGATATCATCAATACAAATATTATCGCTATATACCTGCTAGACGAATATCTGGCATAAGACCAAAGAGTCAACGGGACTAACATGATGAGCTTCGCCGTTCTAACCCTAATGATCACAGAATCAGTGAACTTTCTCTGGGGGGTAAATAGGTTACTTGAGGAGCATAGGCAGAAAAATGGATGGATAGGCTGAAGCAATGCAACGTTAGTATCGAATCGAGGAACGATTAAGTCGTTTAATGCTTTCTATGGAGATATCGCAACTGGATTAACCAGGAGTTGAGTATTTGACCAAACTCCTAAACTTGTCGTTAACTATCCTAATAGTTTCCGATGATTGGAAAATGGGCAGGGTGGTCCAGCAACTGAAGCCAGACAGGGAAGCCAGTAAAATTGACTCATACAGACAGATAACACTATTGTCGCCAGGAGCGAAGACGTTTGAGGTATTATTCCCCAGCATAAAAGAGAGTCTCCCAGTTTGCGTTCATCAACACGGAATTGCATAGCACAACGACATGTCTACACGTACTAGTCGATCACTCAACCAAAACATGCCATGCGACAGAACAGTTTGATTTATAAAACCCTTTTGAAACCGTCAACCACGCCATACTGTTTTATGACGCTACGCATATAACCCTCTGGCCAAGTTTGACACATTGAGTTGTCGACTACAGGTGTGGAAACAAGTCATACGTGGAATTGAGAACAAGAGGTCGTATATGCGTAGGGTGAAACGGGAAGTTTCACTGATATCTTCTAAGCTGTTGAACATTTACCTTTCTGACATTCTAAGACCTCCAAAATACATAAGGATAATAACACACGCGGATAATTGTACGCTCATTGATGACAAATATGATCGGTTGAACAATCCCTTTGTTGATATATCACCATATGGATGAACATATATTCAGCTATTCAGTTGCTAACAATCAACACGGTTTCCGGTTTCCACTACATAGTACCACAACAACATTGCACGCCATATCCACACATATCAGTCGAGGACTCAACCAGAACAGGCCGTGCCATAGAACAGTAATGGTGGCTCTTGATCTATCAAAGGCCTTTGATACGGTCAACCATGCCACGCCGTTCGAAGACGTTGAAAATTCCACCTCCGGCCAGGTTTGAAACGTTGGATAGTTTCAAACCAGAGGAGGCGAAGATCTAACAGGTGTGACAGCATAATGAAAAGGTGTCGGTGCAATACTTGTTTGGGGTTTAGAAACAGAGCCATTACACTCACCATCTGGTGGATTGGCAATCTCCGCCCAAGCTCGTAAAGAAAGACCTACATGATGTAGAGAAGAATCAGAACGAACCCAGAAGCAGTTGCTGCTACATGAATTGAAAATTATTACACGAGATACTGTTGACTTCCCATCCAACCCTGAGCATTTATTGGCGGCTGAGGAACTATATATATCTAAAAGAAAGTTGTGTTAGTTATTACGCTTATAACTTAAGGACCGCTTATCTGATTTTAGCGATTGAAACAAATTCGGAATTGTCTCTTGTCAGAAGAGGATAAAAATCAAAAAAAGGCACGGAAAAATCTAAAATATGAAAATTTTCATTTTGACTTTTGAAGTGTACAATAGTAATGTTTTATTTTGCATGATTTTTTTACATTTTGACTTACTATTTTCGTATGTATATTTGTAGTGTTTTTTTGTTTTGTTTTTTTATTTGTAATATGATTTGTAGTCTTTTTGTGGAGTATGAAGCGACAACGGACAAAACTGTTATTTATAGATTTTATGTATTTTTTGAGTAAGTAGAATTATACTAATAATATCATTTCAGAAGATAATAATCTATGAACACAATAATCAATATTTTAATTACTTTTTCAAAATCGCTAAAAAATCACGAAAAAAGAGGAGGAGAGATCTCATCGCAAAATTCTGAAATCGAAAAAAAATAATGGAATCGAATTTCAAAATAATTGTACATTACATTCACAAACTTCGTAGGGCCTTTAAACATTTGCTGTGAAATCAGCGAATAAGTTGAAGATCTTTTTTAAATTTGCTTTTTTTGTCAATTTTATATAATGTACAATTTTTTCAATTCAGCTTATATTGAAATTAATCGTTTTTTTGTGAACAAAATAAAGACTTTAATTTAAAAGAAAGTTATGTCAGTTACTACGCTTATAACTCAAGAACGGCTTGACGGATTTTAAGAATTCATACGGATTTAAGAATTCATTTCCGATGGTACACACAATACGATATTAAATGGCGATTTTTCATGCTTAAATTGACATCTATTGATTGACGAAAATGACCGACAAAGCAATATGGGGCTCATTTCAAAACGTGGACTTACTTCTTTCACATGACAATAATCCCTCCAATGAGAACTCAAAATCCAAAATTCATTGTGACTGCAATCAATGAAATGCCGAATATAAGTTGTGCAAAATAGAAGAGCGAATTGGACATTTAGGATGAAATAGATTTCTTCTTTCTTCTTTAAATTGCTTTTGCAGGTCATGATATGGGTTATAACCCCTGGATAAGGGTACAACCCGATTTTAAATTTCGGAAAATGTTGGTAATTTGAAAAGCAACCATCCTTTTGGTATAACCATCATATGGTTTAAGCTATTTCGGGGTTTTGGCCACTTTTTTAATTTTTTCGCCCTCATTTGGCATCTTTTTTTTCTAAAAGGGTAGAAAACCTATTCGCCTAAAATTTTCAATTTTCGGAATAGGTTCCCTCTTGGTCTTAACACATTCATCAATTGATTTGGCTAAGTAATATTATTTTTAATATATTCTTGGGTAGAGAACCATCTTATAATTGTCCACGTAGGCATTTATTTAAGTATAGTCCCCACATTATGTGTGCCCCAAGTCCACATGGGAATGTAGATTTTGGATGTACTAGGACTGATTCAGTCGGAAATCGTGGCAGAAACTTGAAAAAATTTACTAATACTGGAAAGTAACACTGGATTGAACATTTGTTTAATTGTCATTGCATTATACTATAATAAAAAATATGGAATTTATGGGATCTCCAAAGCAAAATTTAAATGACAAAAAAATTAATTCTTTTCTTACGGTAATGGGTGCAAAAGAGTAATTATCTTTGACTTCATTCTGCCCTCAATTGAAACGTGAACGAAACTAAATACCACGCAGCACGGAATTCTAAACATTGGAAATACAAATTCCAAATTACAGCTAATTTGAGTGGAAAATGTTACCAAGCTCTTTACAATACAAAAAATTGAGCTGAATTTTTACATGGGGCTATTATAGATGTTCTATATCATATAGGTTTTTAACACTCAAATTAGAGCCTAAAACCGACTGTAAGTGAACATCTATTGTAATTTTTGCAATGAATATTTATTTCTATTTAGAAATTACTATGGAGTCATTACTTATAATAACAATTGTGCCGCTTACATAGCTCCGCTTTATGATTTATTATATATATATAAAGTCTATAGTCTTCTTCTATATATATAAAAATCAATTGTTGTTTGTTGGTAACGGAATCAGTTGAAAACGGGTGGACCGATTTGCATAATTTTTTGTACAAACTTTCGTCATACCCCGAGTTAGGTTTTTAAAGAAAAAAATATTGCCCACGCCTACTTTTACGCCCACTATCTTGATTTATCTAAAATCTTTATATTGCCAGATAATAAAGATATCGGTTTGAAAATTATTACACGAGATACTGTTGACTTTCCCTCCAAACTTAGGAATTTATTTGGGCGCCAGGGAACTGACCACGCATACTTCTAAAAGCATAAAATCCAAAAAAAATCGCGTAAAAATGTGAAGTTTTAAAATTTTCATTTTGACTTTTGAAGTGTACAATAGTAATGTTTTATTTTGCATGATTTTTTCTTTTTTTCATTTAGACTTACTATTTCGGAATGTACATTTGTAGTGTTTTTTTTTTTTTTTTTGAATTCTAATATGATGTGTAGTCTTTTTGGGTAGTAGAAAGCGACGAAAATTATGGAGTGGCGGAACTTAATAGATGATGTCAAAATAATATAACGTGGTCAAACCAAATTGCTAAAAAATCAAAAACTCTTAAATAGGGAAAAACTCTTAAATAGGGAAAAACTGAGAACATTTTTTCAATGGAATAAATTTTCAAAATAATAGTATGGACCAAACTTCGTAAGGACCTTTAAATATTGGCTGTAAAAACCAGCGAAGAAGCTGAAGATATTTTCAATTTGTTTATTAGTTGCTATGCTTATAACTCATGAACGTTTTGACGGATTTTCACAATTCATACAACTTCGGAATGGAATCTTGCAAAAAAAATTGCGTTAAATATGCCAATAAAAATATAAAAGAAGAAATCCTTTTGGCGTGAAATTTTTTCAACTTAAAAACTATATAGAAGTGTACATTTTTTATTGTTTTGAATTCTGAATGAATAATATCCAAAATGAAATAGTACGCAATAAGATGTTAAATGGCGATCTTTTATGTCTGAAATTGGCATTTAGCTTTCAACTCCAGGATCTACGTCGTGCTTCAGCTGGAAGATGCGAACACATTTAAATAAACAAAAATAAACGACAAAACGTATGGGGCTCATTTCAACACGGGGACCTACCTACTCTTATCACATGACAATAATCCGTTCAATGAGAACTCAATATGCAAAATTCATTGGGACTGCAATCAGTGAAATACCGAATATAAAGGGAAAAGGATTTCTATTCTTTCAGAAATTCTTCCTAAACTTTCACGATACCTTAAATCACTTTTGCAGTTCATGATATGGGCCATAACTCCTGGATAAGGATACAACCCGATTTCAAGTATATCTTACATTTTAACCATATTTTCATACTAATTTCGGCAAATGTTGGTAATTTGGGAAGAAACCATCTATGCAAAAACTGATCACGTTTTGTATAACCATCATATGATTTAAGGAACCGGACATTTGTTTAATCGTCTTTGAATTATACTATGATAAAAGATATGGAAATTATGGGGTCTCCAACGCGCAATTTCAATGGCAAATAATTCATATTACTTTAAAAACAAGTAAAAAAATTATGTTCGGCCGGGCAGAATTATTACTATCATCCATCTGAGGGTAAAAAAAAACATTTTTATATAAAAGTATCTAAATTCAAGCGTGTTCCACTTTAAACTTCATATACCAGTAAGAAGTTTGGATAATGCAGTTAACTTATCAAAAAACCATAAAGTGATTGAGGCCGTAATATGGGGCCATACCAAAACGGGAACCTATGTTGACAATTTTATACTTTAAAATACCTTCTAAAATACCAAATTTGAAACAATTATACGCATAAATGTGTGGATTATAAACATACACAATTTAGGTAGATATCGTATATGTGTTAGGCAAATCCGAGGAGAAATGTGGCAAAAATCATCAAAATACCGAATTTCGAGAGAAACCGTTATATGGGGACTATACCAAAACGTGATCATTTTTAATACCAACCATCCTATACACAATACAAATTTTTCAGCTAAATTTTGACGCTATACGTCAAATAATGTGGGCTGTATCGTAATTTAAACAAACAGACATACAGACGGACAAATCGACTTAGAGTTTTATGCTGATTATGAATATATATGCATATTTAATGGGGTCTATGACGAACATTTAGTGATGTTATAAATGGAATGAAAAGTTAATGTACCCTCCTTTCCAAGGTGGATGATATAATAGCATTAAAGACTAAAATTACGGGCCGGCAACGCGGACCGGGCCAGCTAGTTTACATATAAATATTTGTTCATGTTTCTCAACACTTTGCATTGGTCGAAATTTTTATATTCAAAAAATTATACCCATAAAGCACATATAAGTCAATTACCATTCCATAAATTTTTGCTATTTAGACATTTTGTAAAAAATTCTCAACAATAACATCTAAATACTAATGTTGGAATCTTTTTCATTTCAGATGGCAATGTTGCGAATGGTAGCGTCAGGAAAGAAGAAGTAATGCTCGGTAAGCCATTGCTCTTCAACTTTTTTTCTAAAATATTTGTTATTATTAATTAGGGAGCATCAGACGATATTGGCAACAATCCAACTGAAGCTTCTATTGGCAATCAAAATTTAATAACTGGTAGAAATAAACATGGTCTCCAAGAAAGATTTTCTGATCAAGTGTTTGCAGAAACGCATTTACGCTCTTTTTGGAAAGAGCACAAACTGAATAACGATATCCCTCTAGGAATCGAAGTTTGTAACCAAGTGGATGACAAGCCGCTGCAACACAATGAACCGGAAATAGCGGAAAAGATTTCGTACGATATCCCTCTAGGAATCGATGCTTGTAGCCAAGTGGATGACAAGCCGCTGCAACAAAAGGAGTTGGAACAAAATGAGCCGACAATAGTGGGAAAGGTTTCGTACAATATCCCTCTAGGAATCGAAGTTTGTAACCAAGTGGATGACATGCCGCTGCAACAAAACAAGTTGCAACACAATGAGCCGAAAATAGCGAAAAAGGTTTCGGACGACATCCCTCTAGGAATCGATATTTGTGACCAAGTGTATGACAAGCCTCTGCAACAAAACGAGCTGCAACACAATGAGCCGGAAATAGCGGAAAAGCCTTCGAATGCTAACGCCGTTTTGGATCGCCATGAGGCCTTTTCAAATTTACCTACCGATGATGAGCATAAAACCGAGGGCAGTAAAGAGGAACCAGATGATTACACAAAAGAATCATTAAAATCCGATTCACATATTAGCGAAGATCTTACGAATTCAGTTAAATTTAAAAACCTGAATCAAGAAAGAATTCCCAGATATTTTAATGGGGTCCCGCCGGTGTCATCAAAGGAAACTTTACTACCGAAACGTAAACTCCATAAGGAAGGTACTGCTTTTACAATACCATTCCATAATAAGAAGAAAAACATACGAACAAAAAAATTAATTGACAATAATGACTCTGACACTCATGAAGGTGTACAAAATACAGAAGAGATTGATTTCCTGTTGGAAGCGGAATCTCCAACCAAGTTATTTGACGAACTCTTTCAATTTGAAAACGATATTGAAGATTTCGACCGAGATATATCGCAGACAATCGATGACATTATTCGTCTGAAATCGGAAAACTATACAGAGGAAACAAGTTGCAATACGGATACTTTGGATTCTTCTCTACATAAACCGGATACAGTTTTACATACAATTATCGAAATAACTGAACCCGAATCTTTGAGACATGAGGAATGCATATTTATTGCAGAACCCTTGGAAGAAATATCTATAGTCATCGATCATTCAGAGTGCAATTCAAAAGTATCTGATACTAAATTATCTCAATACGACGAGTTAATAAACTCAGCTCCAACTCCTCCAAACGATACACCACACAATAGCGATGACGAAACACAGAAGGCATTGGAAACCATAAAATATAATACAGAAAATAAAAATAGTCCGGACATCGCAGCTAGTATTATACAAAGAGCATTTAAAACATTTTTAAATGTTCGACAGAATACTAAAAACACAAAATCTACCGAGGCGAACTTATCTGGATTTGGGCACCAAGATTCTGCCAAAATAGTTGAAAAATCACCTGAAATTTGCAACACTTAAATATAATTGGAGAGAAAGAGAAAATAATGAACTTGGGAAAAAATGTTGGGCTATCCTCTACTCAGCCGGAAAGCTTTTGTGATGATACATTTAAGCAGGCTGAAGAAGAAGTTGCTGCTAAAACAATACAAAAGGCTTTCCGAAAATTCATGGAGAGCAAAGGGACTCAGCATATCAACAAGCCTCAAATTTATTTAGATCATTCCAAAGTTATTGAGGAAATGGAGACCAGAGATTCTACTGGGCCCGAAAGCTGCATTGATAATTCACATAAGCAAAGTGAAGAAGAAGCTGCTAAAACTATACAAATTGCATTCCGAAAATTTATGAAGGGCAAAAGAACGGAACATATCAACATGCCTTCTACAGAACATTTAGATCTTTTAAAAGACAAGGAGGAAATCGAGACCAGATATGCTACTAGTCACGACATCTGTAGTCATGATTCTCTTAAGCTAACTGAAGAAGGAGCTGCTAAAATTATACAAAAGGTATTCCGAAAATTCATAAAAAACCAACGGACACAACATATCACCAAGCGTTCTATGGAACATTCAGATCAATTAAAAAGTAAAGAGGAAGTACAGACCAAAGATTATACAGGGCCCGAAACATGTACTGATGATTCACCTAAGAAAACTAAAGAAGAAGCTGCTAAAACTATGGAACATTTAGATCATTCTAATGTCAAGGAGGAAATAGAGGCCAGAGATTCCACTGTGCCAGGACGCTGTAGAGATGATTCACAGAAGCAAACCGCAGAGGAAGCTGCTAAAACTATACAAAAGGCATTCCGGAATTTCATGAAGAGCAAACGGACACAACATATCACCAAGCATCGAATTGATTTAGATCATTCCAAAGATATGGAGGAAATGGAGACCAGAGATTCTACTGGGCCCGAAAGCTGCATTGATAATTCACATAAGCAAACTGAAGAAGAAGCCGCTAAAACTATACAAATTGCATTCCGAAAATTCATGAAGGGCAAGAGAACGGAACATATTAACATGCCTTCTACAGAACATTTAGATCTTTTAAAAGACAAGGAGGAAATAGAGACCAAATATCCTACTGGTCTCGAAATCTGTAGTCATGATTCTCTTAAGCAAACTGAAGAAGCAGCTGCTAAAATTATACAAAAGGTATTCCGAAAATTCATAAAGAACAAACGGACACAATATATCACCAAGCGTTCTATGGAACATTTAGATCACTCAAAAGGTAAAGAGGAAGTACAGGCCAAAGATTACACTGGGCCCGAAATACGTACTGATAATTCACCTAAGCAAACTGAAGAAGAAGCTGCTAGAATTATACAAAAATTATTCCAAAAGTACATGAAGAGCAAAAAGACGCAACATACCACCAAGTCTCAAATTGAGTGTATAGATCATTCTAAAGTTAAGGAGGAAATGGAGACCGGAGATTCCACTGAGCCAGAAAGCTTTTGTGATGATTCGTTTAAACAAATTGAAGACGAAGCATCTAAAACAATAAAACATTTAGATCATTCAAAACTTAAGGAGGAAATAGAGGCTAGTGATTCGACTGAGCCAGAAAGCCATGATTTACATAAGCAAATTGAAAAAGAAGCCGCTAGAACTATACAAAAAGCATTTCGAAAATTCATAAAGAGTAAAAGGACAGAACATATCGACATGCCTCCTACAGAACATGTAGATCATTTAAAAAGTAATGAGGGATTAGGGAACAGAGATTCTAATCAGCCAGGAAGCTTTTGTGATGATTCACTTAAGCAAATTGAAGATGAAGCTTCTAAAACTACAGAACATTTAGATGATTCGAAAGGTAAGAAGGAAATAGAGACCAGACGTCCTACTGGTCACGAAATCTGTAGTGATGATTCTATAAAGCGAGTTGAAGACGAAGCTGCTAAAACTATAGAACATTTAGATCATTCAAAAATTATGGAAGAAATAGAGGCCAGAGATTCTACTGGGCCACAAATCTGGAATGATGATTCATATAAGGAAACTGCAGAAGAAGCTGCTAAAACTATACAAAAGACATTCCGAAAATTCATGAAGAGCAAAAGGACAGAACTCATGAACATGCCTCCTACAGAACATTTAGATCATTTAAAAGTTAAGGAGGAAATAAATACCGGAGATTCCAATCAGCCAGATAGCTTTAGTGATGATTCACTTAAACAAATTGGAGACGAAGCATCTAAAACTATAGAACGTTTAGATCATTCACAAATTGAGGACACAATAGAGGCCAGAGATTCGACAGAGCCAGAAAGCTATAGCGATGAATTACATAAGCAAACTGCTGAAGAAGCTGCTAAAACTATACAAAAGACATTCCGAAAATTCATGAAGAGCAAAAGGACAGAACTTATAAACATGCCTCCTACAGAACATACAAATCATATAAAAGTTAAGGAGGAAATAGAGATCGGAGATTCCAATCAGCCAGCTAGCTTTTGCGATGATTCAGTGAAACAAATTGGAGACGAAACATCTAAAACTATAGAACGTTTAGATCATTCACAAATTGAGGACACAATAGAGGCCAGAGATTCGACAGAGTCAGAAAGCTATAGCGATGAATTACATAAGCAAACTGCTGAAGAAGCTGCGAAAACTATTCAAAAGGCATTCCGAAAATTCAGGAGTAAAGGGACAAACTATGTTACCGAGTGGCCTTTATCTGAGATTTCAGAAACAACTTCTACTAGGAAATCGAATTGGTATGTTGGCGATGAACTTATTCAGGCAATGACTCCTTCAGAAATTTCTTTCGAAGAGACCGAGGCTTACATAGAGCTTATCCCAAATCCACCGTATGTAGTTGGCAACGCAATTAGTAGTAGTTTGGAACTGAAAAATGCTATTGATACTAACGCAATATCTGCAGCACCAATTTCTTACTATAACGACAATACGATCCTGACTAACTCACAAGAGTCTAATCCGATTTCTAAAGAAAATATTTCAGACCAAACCCTTTTAGAGCCTTTAATGAAAACGACCTCAGACAAAGTGGGTGGGGATGGACATTCCCCAATGGAGGATCCAGAATGTGATAAAAAATGCTATGGTAAGTATTCACCTCTTTTTATCTAATTAATAAATTTGAACATCTTATGCTATTGCAAATTTTTAAGTTTTGGTTTGCAATATCGCATAATTTCCGTTTTTTTTGATGCAAATTTGTTTTGCAGGCAAAAATTATTCTTTCAAAAATTCATTTTAGATTGGTTCGACCCAATTCCATCATACGACTTTAATTTTTTAAGTTATAAAATGCTTGCATGAATTTGATAGTTTTTATACAACACTATGTGTTGGGGGTATTATAAGTTTGATTGGGCCAGAATTTATGTAACACCTCGAAATATTGATTTCCCATATAAGAAAGTATATATGGATCTTCCTAGCTCGCCGAGCTGAGTCGATCTAGCTATGTATGTCCGTCCGTCCGTCAGTCCGTCAGTCCATGTGAATTTGTAATCACGCTACAGGTCGCAATTATAGCCCGATCCTCACGAAATTGAAATTGGAGGCGGGTTTTAGGCCAGAATAGAACCCTATTTCTTTTGGAGATGATCGCATACTATTTAGGGGTTGAAATGGACCAATTACTGAAAAATTTCCTGATTTTGCAGTTGCTCTACAGGACGCAATTATGGACCAATCGACGCGGAATTTCGCATGTAGCTAGAGTTTAGGGCGGGGAATAAGCCTACCAATTTGGGTGGTCATCGGATAATATTTAGCGGGTAAAATAGACCATATCTTTTGTGTTGAAAAAATTAAAAAAATTTTCATTAAACCGCGAATGTTTTAAATCCCGGCGAAATCACAAAGCCATGACAAGGTTACTTCTGATCTTTACATTGATGTTAACATCCAACAAATTGGATATATAGCAAAATATGTGCGATATATATGTCTATCAAAGAAGATAGGCTTGAAAGATCTCTTATGTGTCGAGAACGGCTGAACTGATTTCGGCAGTTTTCATTAATTCAGAATGGCCTCTTGGCAGGAAAGAAAAAACGTCTAAAAAAATCGCATAAAAATGTCTCTCTAAAGATGAAAATATTGATTTTGTAACATTTTCTCATATTTTTTTAATTTTGTCATATTTTTGGCATATTTTCATTTTGAATTAAACATTTGGTAATATTTCTACAGCTAACAAAACTAAGTAGTTAGGATATCAGGATATCATATACAGATCGCATTTATGGCCCGAACTTTACGAAATTTTGCATGAGGATAAGATGAGGGTCAGAGTGGAAGCCTACACTTTTTGAAGATGATCGCCATATATTTAGGGGTTGAAATGGACCAAAAAACTGCAAACGCCCGATCCTCACGCACATTTGAATGGGGGTTACCGGACATTGTAAAAGCCAAGCAGTTTTGGATGGCCATCCAAAAATATTCAATGTGTCAAATAGTTTGCCAAATTTTGTAGACAATACGAAAATGTCCATTCCAGAGACTTTTTGGGGAATTCACAAATACAGGAAAGACGCACTTCTGACTATTTCGTTACCGCTGATTTCGTTGAAGAATATAGTCAAATGTCTGTATCTCATATAGATGCGTTTCAGTCAAAAACCAATAATAAATGTTAATCTTTTGCCACTTTTGAGAGATTATAGGTCTTTGGGAAATATTAGTTCCAGATCTAGGAAGACCATTTACGTGCAACATCTACCAATAAATTGGGAATGAGCAAATTAGTTTAAGTTGCTATTATTCGAAATGGTTTTCTTTTATTGTTTGTCACAATATCTTGTGGAATTCTTTCGAGTATCTCGCCTATATAAACTGTATCGTTTATTATAGTGTTGTAGGGTATTCAACGGTCGGCCCCGCTCGACTGTAGCCTTTGCTTACTTGTTTAAACTTAGCTTTCGTTTAATGTATTTGGCTTCATAATGTGGATCTTGCTTATTTGGGTGTACCATAGTAGAAAAAGGGGCGCATTTTTGTACGCACATCGGGCATTAGTCATGGAACTTTCGCCCCAAGTATAAATACAACCAGTAAAGAAAGTCCTAAAGTCGGGCGGGCCGATTTTATGATACCCTACACCACTTTGCTAATTTAGTTGAGCTCCACTTAATAATTAAAAGTTTTTATGAGAGAATTCAATCATACACGCTATGATTATAATTATAATTTAAAATTCAAAGGACTAAATATGCCAAAGCATTTGTATCTTTTAAATTCGGACTTGTATTGCCCATTTGGTGCAAAATTAATTTGAAATCAGATAAATATATATATGGGAACTATATCCAAATCTGAACCGATCTCGATAAAATTTGGCAAAGATAATTTTGAGCTGTATTTGATATATTTCCCTGAATATCGTTGTTACGGAGTGCATATTACGGCTGTAGGTAACAAATACAACAAATCGGATGAACAATATATATGGGAGCTATAGCTATATCTGAACCGATCTTCACCAAATTTGGCATACTACCTTCTAGACTAAATTTGGTCGTATGTGCCAAATTCCATCCCATTTGGGCAAATATAAGACGTTTCGTGCACAATAAAAGGTAAATCGGACAAAGTCATATATGGGAGCTATATCCAAATCTGAACCGATCTCGATAAAATTTAGCAAAGGTATTTCTGAGCTGCAGGTATTTCTGAGCTGCATTTCCCCAAATATTGTTGTTACACAGTGCATACTACGGCTGCGGAGGACAAAAATAACAAATCGGATGAACAATATATATGGGAGCTATAGCTATATCTGAACCGATTTCGATCAAAATTGGCATACTTATTTTCAGGCCTAATTTGGTTGTATGTGCGAAATTTCATACTATTCGGGCTGATATTCCACGTTTGGTGCACAATAAAAGGCAAATCGGACGAAGATATATATGGGAGCTATATCTAAATTTTTTACCGATTATCTCCAATTTCAATAGGGTTCGTCCTTGGGCCAAACAAATGTTGTTTGCAAAGTTTAATCTCAATCGGATAATAAATGCGACCTGCATTTTGTTCACAAGAATACATGGACAGACGGACGGACAGACGGACAGACGGACTGACATGCATAAATCAACTCAGAAAGTGATTCTATGCAGATCATCAAAGGAACTATGGGTCTATTTCGTTTCCTTTTGCCTGTTACAAACAAATGCACAAAGACATAATACCCTGACCACCTTGTGGTGCAGGGTATAAAAAGTTAAAAAGTATCAGTCGGGTTTACCCTCAGCCAATTTTGGATTATTTAAATATATTTTCACTCCTTTAAATGTTTGATCCTCTATTGAGTAAGTTCCGAAGGAATGGGTCAAAATTGTTCATTTCGTATCGGACATAAATAAATATGATATAAATATTGCGACGTGCCAGGTTTGGACTACATTGGTTACTTCCTTCACTTTATATGAGATATGTGGTCATTTTTAGAAAATGTTAAAATGTGCTTGAGGTACTAGATATAGTCGACCAAAGTATTCCATTTTCATACTTCATCTAAAACAGATAAAACTATTGGTTTGGGTTAAATTACAAGAAAATCGTACATTTCTATCCGAATTTATGCAAAATCATAATTTCATCTCAGGTTTCTGGTTGAGACAAATATTTAGATATAGCAAATTATAAAGAATCGCTAACTACATGACAAATAAAAGTATTGAAAATTGTGACCCTTTGTGGGTGAGGTGTCAGAAGGGGTTCGCATATATATATACCATCTTCACAACAGATTTTGTGTTTATGGCTAGGGTATACCGCCAAAACGAGCCTCATCCGTGCCTTGTCCATTTCAGGACATTTGGAGTCGATTTAGCAATGTCTTTGGCCCGAATTTGGTACATCGTAATATTATTATCAAATTAAGAGTTCGGAAATGGGCAATATCGGTCCACTCCTTCTGGCACTTCCCCACAAAAGGACGAAATTTTTATAAAATATATTTTCTGTACAGAAAGAGAAGCAATAATCCGATTTTGCTCTAACTTTGCAAATCCTAATATTTGCATCAGTTCTAAGTCAGGTGCAAAAATGGATAATATCGGTGTACTCCATCAAGTGCCTCCCCCACAAAGGGTCAAAATTTTGAATAATTATAACTTTTATAAAATGTGATGTAAAGTCCGATTGTCTTCAAATCCACATCATCCAATTTTATAAACCAAAGATCTGGTATTAAGACGGAATATATCGGCCAACTCCTTCTGGTACCTCACCCACAATTTCAAAATCTTGAATATCCACGAAGCTCATAAAAAGCGAAATTAACATCCGATTCCACATAAACTTGGCACAGCTGAATATTTCCATCAACACAGGATCTGTTATAAAGACGGTATAGATTCCTTCCAGTACCTCCCCCGCAAAGGGTCAAAGTTTTGAATAAACAAAATGTTTATAAAATCCGATATAATGGTATATATCGGGCCACTGCTTTTGATACCTCCCCCATAAAGGCTCAAAATTTTGTATATCCGTGAAGCTCATAAAAAGCGAAATCAACAATATTTTCATCAACACCAGATCTGTTATAAAGATGTTAGAGATCGGATCATTTCTTCTGGTACCTCCTCCACATAGTGTTCAAGATTAAAAAAAAACTCATAAAACTCGAAATAAACATCCAATTTTCTTCAAATTGCATACATACAAACAGTTGTGCTAACCCTTCTGGTACCTTTCCCACAAATGGTCACAATTTTCAATACGTTTATCTGTCATAACTTGCGAAACAAGTTAGCGATTCTTTATAACTGCTTTATTTAAATATTTCTCTTAACCGGAAATCTGAGTTGAATTTTGAATTTATGATTTCGCATAAAATTAGATATAAATGTTCGATTTTCCCGTAATTTTGCACATACCAATTTTTGTATCTGTATTAGATGAAGTATTAAAATGGAATACTTCGGTCCACTATATCTGGTACCTCACATTGGCTGAGGGTATACATCTGTCGGCAAAACTGATTGATACTTTTTAGCTTGTTTTATTAGCGTGATTTTTGCGTCGATGTTTTGCTTGCAAGTCTTCCTTTTTGTGGAGCTTGTGTATTGACGAGTTTTATTG